CCAGCCAACATGCCAGAGGGAGAGAAAGAGAGAGAGACAAAGAGAGGGAGAGGCTGTGACTGGCCACAGAGAGGTAATGGGGCAAAAGGGATATGGAAGTTGGTTGTATTTGTAAAGAGGGTCATGCCTTATCTATTAGACATGTACAGAGTGTGTCAGAATGCAGTGGTCAGCCGTTACTGCCCCAAGTAGGGCAGGCCTGAGGAATGCAAGAACAAGAAGACCCAGCATGATGAAGTCATTTAAGTTCAACTACCTCAGAAAAAGAGCACAACTTGATCTGGACCTTTTCCGTTCTACGGTGCATGTAGAAATATATTCAGAGGTTTCTAATGCATGCCTAAAGGGTCTATAGAGTTTTTTTCCTGACACACTGCCCAAAGAATATGCAACGTAACCCTCTTAGCATTCTGAGGGAAGTATAAAAATGAGCTACGCTGGTGCTGAGCCGTATTTCTGCCTGATGGGTAGTTAAAAACAAACACGTTGTCCTAGTTTGGCCTTTGAATATCAGTCAGGCAAATGGAAGAATGAGGATTAATCAGGAAAAAGTGCAAGCATGAAGCAAGCAAGTCAGGAGAGGCGAGTGAGGAAAAAAAGAAGAAAGAAGCAGAATGTTAATTGGACTTTACTTTAAAGACTGATTTCTCTGATGTGCAATCAGAAACACTTAGAAATGCATTGGGTCAGAGGTTTTCAGCCTAGTCCACACTTTGTTCTAGCTCCCAAACACACCTGAGCCTGGTAATCAAGATGACAGGCTGGAATCATAACCCCTGGAGATAAGGGGTCTATACAGTATGTATAGTACTATGCAAAGGTCTTAGGCACCTAAACACATTTGAACCATTTATTTTGTCAATATGTATGCTTTTGTTTGTAAAAAATTCTTATTTTGACTAGTTGATGTCTTGTGAGCTAGCCTGAAGAACAACGTCTCCTGGATGCTCCTAGCCATCGCACTGATTTGTTAAATTCCTTCACCAGCACACTTTCTTTAACAAAATAAAGCACTGATTATTGGATGATAATTACACGTAATACTGGGCTTCCTTGAGCAGAGGCTTGCAAATGGTTCAAACAGCACAATGACATACATAAAATCACTACTTAGTGTATTAATGTTATTTGCCTTCATTCTAAAATGAGTGTTATTCTGAGTAAATGCTTACTGCACAAATAAATACCTTTTTCATTCTTATTTTGTCAGGTGCCTAAAACTTTTACACAGTACTGAATGTTACAACCCACCCACCCCCCCCCTTTATTTTTACTAATGCATTATAGTAATCACAGATCATGTGGCAGCCCTTCAGTATTTCAGCCAGATCAGCTGTGCTTTTAAGAAGGAAACTTGTGAGTTTATTTTTTTTTTTTGCAACTCGCCCTGTCGTAAAAGCAAACATTAGTTCCTCAGAAGTACCATGACGCTAAGTAAGCATGAGTGAGGCTCTAAACTCCACTATCTGGCATCAGATCAAACTACGGTTTCACCTGTAAAGATCTCATGCTAGCCTGCCCCAGAAACTGTCTAGAGAGAAATTTCTCTGACAGCAACACTCAAAACTGGGTTCACTTGAGGCAAACACTAAGAACAGTCATTTCTCAAGGGAATTTAGGCATCTGCTTTTGGAAATGTCTTGCAAAAAAGCTGCTAAATTCAACACCCAACACTTCTTACATATTCTTTTGATCACTTTTGATATGAAACATTTTTTTTCTACTTTATTCATGTCCACTTCTCCCTCTTTTCTTTTCTTGGCTTATCCACTGAGGAAACTTTTTTAAACTGCTAATCAGTGAAGTGACTTTCCTTCAGACTTAGAATACTTTCTCTTTAACACTATCTGTCTCAGTCTGTCATATCTGCCATAGTTTATGTGAAGATCATAGTGGCAGAATTAAGAGGTAAAGGTGTTTATACAGCCATGTAATCATGAATGCACATATTAGGCAGTATGCTGCAGATAAAAAAAAAAAGAAAAATCAATTTGCAAAGGCCAAAATCCCCATTGCAGGCACATACAGACACTAATCGAGCCCTTCCTGGTGTTTGGGAATTACAAACCATTTGACCTTTCATGAATAAAACATCTCTTTAGCCATTTTATCTCCACAGGCATCTGTTTAACTGCCACAGAGGTTTACACATCAGGCTACTTTCTAAGCCAAAACTGCAGACAGACAGAATGGTCGCCAGACAGCGATCTCGAATTTACTGCAAGGAGTCCTATTGAGCAGCAAGACCAGATAAAGATGCTTTGCTGGGAAGGGGCGGTGCACGGGGCATCCTAGTTTGCCAAATTAGCCTGACCTTTGGCTGAACACAAAGCAGAAGCTGTCTGGTTCTAACAGCTGTCTGACAGATGGGTGGCAACTCTGCCCTGCTGTGGGTCAGTCCATGGTGGTCACAGAACACAGCATAGTGACCAGACTGAATGGCTGGCTGGGTCACTGAGAACTGCCATTCCAAATTAGACAGGGGAAATCTAGATGACAGTTAGCTTCATGCTTGCATGAGGAAATCAGGGCCTTAGTTAGCAATAATAACACCTGTATATTTTTCCAAGCACAGTTTAAGATGGTTGTCACCAATTTGTTTCTCGTGAATGTTAATAATACATCTAATTATTAATGGAGCCCAGAGGAGAGTCAATTAGTCAGTTAAATTAAATTAGTCATTTTGCGTAGCAGGTACATATTTTGACATTAAAGTACGCTGGTATGATTTGTCACTCTAAACTATGCAAAATCTAACAGCAAGATGCAGCAGTGTATAGTCTTCCGAATAACAAAAGAAGAAGAGTTCGACCAATCATAGCGCTGGCTTTACCCCCCGCCACATATCAAACACGGATGACAAATGCTTGATGTCAGTCATTTCAAGAAACTGCAAATCAGCAGCAACATGAACTAGATTTTACCCGTCTCGTTCCCCCTCCTCACTCTGTCTGGCTGGGAGGATGGTGCTTTTAACTCCTTTGCAATGCTGGGGTGGATATGGAAAGTTGAAATTGTGAATAGAGTTAACTTAATGCAGAACTGCCAACGTTGGGTAAATATTTAACGTTACTTAATTTGCAAGCTAGCTTGCTTGTTTGCATATAAGTTAGCAAAGTATCGTTAAGTTATATTGTCCATGTGTCGCAGACTTTTCACAGTACTGCATTCACAATAATTATTGCAGCCAAAGCACAATGAGAGGAGCAGATCATGGCAAGGTAAAAAAAAAGTGAGTGCACATGTCGCAGAAATAACTTTACCTATTAAGTTACTGGGGTGTGTGTGTGTGTGTGTGTGTGTGTGTGTGTGTGTGTGTGTGTGTGCACGTGTGTGCACGTGCATGCCTTATGGAGGCGTTGCGGTAGATGGACAACAACAAATCAGATATTCTATTCTTGTCAATATAACCTCCTGCGGTCTGCTGAACTCTCCATCAAGAGTTCATTTTTCCCAAACTTTTTTTTTTCAATTTTCTGTTGACCGCTGCAGTGGAATAAACAGAACGGGTGCCACACATCTCAAACTCAGTATTATACAACAGTAATAAAAGAGTACAAAGAGCCCTCCTACCTTTTTCCACCTCAAATAAATAAATAATCTAAACTGCTAAAGCTCTCCTCTGATAACCACCCATTCCCATTTTTGCTGGTAATGCTGTCATCATGGCAGTGTTACCGCCATGATGTGTGGAATGGTGTGAATGTGAATGCAGCATTGCAGTTAAAGTAAACATGACATCAGAAGAGGAGGACACAAACAGGGAAAGAGAGAGAGCAGCAGCTGAATAACTGAACTTGATGATATGGCAGTGAGCAGGAAAATGACCATGTGCTAAGCGACGCAGAAGCATGTGAACTACGCATTCTTTTTGTTACACTATTGTGATATGCAAAATATTTACTTTACTAGGGTCAACTTTACTATGTATGTAACTAGTTTGCACAGCTCAGCTAATTCTTACAATCTTCAAAAACTGTGGTGCAGGGTAATGCTGTGTGTACATGCTGGAGTTTACACTGTGTTTACACCATACCTCTTTGCAGAACCAGTGTAAAGCCATGATGGTATGTGACCAATAGTGGCCTGCAGCCATTGTCATGGTGATAACGGCTGCCAAATGTAGAGCTTTGGCGGTCACTTTTATTGATGTTCCTGCTTAAGGTGGAAAAGGTCACGAGGATGCAAGAAATCACTGCCTTTGGGTTCATCCTGTATTATAAGACCACAAGATGAATGATATTTCATTGGCGTCAAAGGACGTTTTTTGGAGCAGTTGGCTACAAATAATCTGCCTCCTTAACTATGCCCCTGCCCTGAACTCTCCAAAAAGAATTCTTAAAAGGTTCTTTTATGGGAGATCTTGTATTCTGAAGAGAACCATTCTATGATAACAATAAGATGTGAAGATTTGTGGAAGACTTGGTAAGACTTGGCAGCGGTGCAGCAGGAAAGCACCATCATTACATCTATCATGGTCCTTGCACTAAGACCCAGAGAATCACTAAGATCCCTAAAAGGTGTGTAACACAATACATTGTGTTTAATGTATTACATGACTTTATATTTTAGGTGATTTTCCAGTGCAGCAAAGATCAGAGCAAGTAAAACGTCCCAGGCGACCTGCTTTTTATAAACTTTAAGAAGTATTTGACTGAAACCAGCCAAATTGGAGAATGGCAGAGAATGCAGTGTGGGCAAGTGCAAACTCTGTCTAGTGACGGATTGTTAATTCACTTCATTTGTTCACTTAAGCTATTGGAAACACTTTTTTGCGACAAATATCTGTGACAAAAGCACTTTGACTTCCCTAATCTAACTGCTAAGCAGAAAGTGATTGGCAGGAGGAGCTCTCTCTTTTGACTTTCCTGTCTGTTTCCAATCAAAGGAGACCACCTAAACAAGCAAATTCACTTCTGCAAGTACAACACATACACATTCAAGATATTTGACATGGGCTTTGCAATTTGGTATTGGATCATATCAACTTGTCTTTTTAGTTATATTCCATAGTGCCTAGCTCCATTCACAGTGCTATCATCCGAACAGAAAACGATTTGGGTGCCTTCATCACATCGCTAATTGAGAGACCCATTCCTGTTCATTCTGAGTGTCAGTTTGTCCTTGGATCAGTTATGGGGGAATAACCAGGCCCTGCGGACTGCAGTGAGCCGGCTAGCTGTGCAGCTCACAGCTAGCTAATGGCCTAAAGATTATTCCTGCAGGAAGGAGAGAAAGAGAGGCCGGCGCAAATGTTAACTGGAGAGAAATGAAACCTCACTGTCTTATCTCTCTCTTCCTCCTTTTCATGTTTTCATTCTCTTACTCCTTCCCTCAGGGCTTCCATGCACCCTCCTACTCTCTCTCTCACTCTCACTCCCCCGTTTCTTTGGGCTGGATTGAGGGAAGAGCCGTGACTCTGCAAAGCTGCCCTCATAGATAAGAGTCACCCAAGAGACTCTGGAGTGCTTCCTCGTTCTGTTTCCCTCTCTAGAGTGCTTTGCCCTTTCATCTCCCCAAGGTCTTCTGCTGTGGTTCTTTAACCAGCCTTGCTTTTTTTCTTTAAATCGAAGCATTTCTTGTGTTCTTTAGTAAGTACCACTTTTTATCGTTTGATCTTTTGATAATTTAATCTCAACAGTGCTTACGTTTTACAGTACAGACTTCATTTTTTGCCTTTTTGTTTTTCTGTCTTAAGGTCTTAAAGACTATCAAAGGTAGCTTTAGGTAAAACACTGCTAGTACTGGGTTGCATGGATTTGTTATTCTTATTTGCCAAAAAACATGGTGCTTTCCCTCTGGTCCTGCTCACCCTCGTCTGCATGCTCAAGGCCCCGAAGGGTGTGACAAATAAGATATGGTCATGGAGCATCTAGGCCTGATGATGCACCTGCAATGAGGACTGAGTGGGTGCAGAGTCACTTTGAGTCATATCCATCCAGCAAAGATATGGGTGAATAGAAGAGTACTGCATTTCTTGTAGAACCAATACAAATCTTAGTTTTGTCTCTATTGCTGCAATAACGCCTTACAGATTTCAGAGCACAATGGAAAGAGCTGTGTGTTTGCAGGAGCCAGAATGGAAGGTGGAACGCAAACAGGGCTTTTTTAGCTGTAGTAACAACAGCAAGATGCCAAACAAGCTTTTGGGGTAATGCACATGTAAATGTCAAGCTGCCGTACTGGACCCAGCCTTGCTGGACTGCAATCAGAGTTAAGCGCAGAAAACGACAAAGAGGCAGTGCATTAAGTGAAGAATGTGGCGCTACCCTCCGCCTTTGAGGAACTGGCAGATATAAGCAGATATGAAGAAGTCTGAGAGCAGCTCCCATGAACTGTGACCATGTGATTACATTAGCATGCAATGCTTCTGTTTTGGAAGAATATGGAGGAAGGAAGAAATTAAATTCCACACTACAAGAGGCAAGACAGCAAACATGAGGCAGGATAGACAGATGGGGCATGTTGAAACCCCCTGCAGAGAGGTAGACATCGCAATGTTGCACGCACCAATGCAGCACACACTCGTGTGTCGCAGCATCTGTGGAGCAGCTGCGATGGTCGCTGGCAGGTTGCTGACTCGAGACGGGTTAGCAACAGGGTCCATACGCAGCAGCTAACAGAACCACTGGTGCACGACTGCTACTAGGACAGGTAATATTTAGCTTCTGGCTTCACAGGTGACACTTATCTGCTACTGAAATAATTACTGCTTAGCTGTCAAACAGACTTAGCTGCTAGCAAACCAGATAGCTAGCTTTATGAGCAATGCTCAGCTGCTGCTGAAATTCAGCCATGAGCTTCACAGGTAATAGTCATCAGCTAGAGCAGCAGTTCTCGCTACGCTGGTAGCGCAGCAGTTAGCGCCAGGCGCCGCTCAGTTCTGGCTCAGGACTGGAGGTTCAGGTCAAGTGGTGATGGACAACGATGGCTAACTGCGGTGGAGGGCAGGGAAGGGGCGCAGCCACTGTTAGAAGTGGAATACCTGCTGCTGGCCCTGCTGGAGTTTGGGGAAGTCCTCACGCTGCTTCCTGTTCTTCCGCTCCAGGCTGCTCTGCTGCAGGTGCTTCAGGCGGGATGCTGCTGACGACGATGCCAGTTTGGCGGACCCAGGAGGGGTACCAGCAGACTGCACAGCGAGAGGGGGCAGAACAAGAGAAGGGTTGGCATTAACAAAATATCATTAAAAAGAGCTGTGTCCTATTTGCCTTGCTGAAAGACAAAGAGCAAAGGTAGCTAGTGGGAAAAACAAAGAGAATCATTAGAAGACGTAAGGTAAGAAAGAGAGAGTATAGGGAAGAGCATGTCGTGTAGATTGACACCCAGCGTGTGTTAAAACTGACACTTGATTCTTTCCCCCCTCTCTCTTCATACATGCTCTTCTGTTATGACAGACACACCGGGGGAGTTCACCATAGCATATTACTGCTTTCTGTGAACAATAGAAAGCACACACTTCATGCGCTGCACGCCCACTCGCAAGCTGTCTAAACAGTTACGCTGGCATTCCTGTAAATTACCCCAGCCAACAAGAAAGCGACGAAAACACTCTTAAACGAACCGCCCAAGCTAAATTAATCCAGACGAGCAATTAAGCAGCAATTTAGCAAACGTTACAGGGCCAATTTCCCAGACCCAGATTAAACCTAAGCCTGGGCTAAAAGGGATTGTTAAAAAAATTGATATTGATAAAAATAAGCCAAGAACTTGCACAAAACTGGCTTTAAAAGTTTAAATCCATGGTCTGAAAAGGACAGCGACACAGGCATTGTGGGACCCACATTATGTGCTAAACAAAAACAATGGAACCTAAAACACGCCCCTTTATAAACGGAGAACTTCGAAGCTGAAGCTTTAGTATTAACAAGAAAACACTCGCTCTGTTAGTTTAGTTAGTTACAGCAGCCTTTACCCACAGTTAATAGTGCTAAGTAAAAGCAATATGCCAGTAGTTCAACAACAAGAGAGAAGTTCTGTTTTGTGCTATAAACAGTCAGTAACAGTTAAAAGTAGCTAATATAAGCTTATGAACATGAGGAATGTAGGCTCATAAATGCAGCAATCACTGTTTTTTTCTGGAAACGAATGGCAAATACTTGTGGCCAACCAGTACAAACATTCAAAATGTAATTTTAGATAAAACTATGAAATTATAGGCTCTTAAAAACAAATCAATTCATGATAAAAAGCCCTTCGCTCTCCAGAAAAAGGAAAAGGGTTAGGTTGTACCCGTTAGAATATTAAAACGTTGTTCGGACCGCTGGTGTAGGTGGCACAAGGGTGTAGCATTGCTGGAACTCCCTCATACCATAAAAATGACATGTTCACCATAAAAAAACAACATAAATAATAGCTGTGTTGTAAAGAGGACACTGAGTCGATGCAGAAAGCAGCAGCAGCCTTGCAATGCTGGTGTTTTGTGTTGGCTAACAGGAGAAGCTCCTGTTCTAAAGACACTGTGCTCATCTGAATCGATTCACTGGCACTGTTTTTGTCGACTTAGTGCCACAGATACAGCTCAGCTACAATAGACTGCCTCATTACAAAGTGTAACTGCACACCAACGAGAGATGGAGAGAAAGTGAGAGAGGAAAACAGGAAGAGTGCAAGATTACAGCTTGAGTTGTAAGAACAGAGCACCAGTTCTCATAGGAATGGAGAAGGAATGGGTGTGGACCCCAGAGTAAGAGAGGCTTGGAGGGTCTAGCTAATGTTACCTCTCTCCACAGAGAGCTGATGGTCCACTGACCCAAACTGGGAGAACTGCTGGTTTGACCAGAGGGTCGTGGGAGAGTGCTGGGCTTGGCAGTGACGGTCACCTTTACTGGTGCACGCTGGAAGTTCTGCCACAAGAGTGTGTATGGATGCGTATGTGGAGAAATTGACATGATTAGTTTGTCTTCTGCTTTGCCACATGTTCTACTGGCATGTCCATTCGGACTAAGTACATGCTGTGAACAAAAGCACTCAAAGTTTCAGCTCCTGCATGAGGCAGTAAAACTCTTAGCACTTTGTCATGCAAAACCAATCACTGCACAGCACTTACATTTTCATGTTGTTCATCTGCAAAGGCCCTTTGGCTCTTTTAGTACTAGCCAAACAGTTTAAAACTTATATATATACACAGTTTATATAATACACAGTAATATATAAAAGTACAGTACTTCATTACAGCATACTTCATAGTATGTTTTCACTGTTATAGCAAATAGTAAAGGTAAGGAAAACCCTTTCTATGACAAAGTGTTTTGACTGGTACTGCTGGTCACATTTACATTCTGCACATTTTCTCCACATTTTACCTCGAGCTCTGCCATGATTTTCTCTTCCTCATCTTCATCCTCTTTCATCCCAGAGGCTGCGATAACTGGTGGCGTGGAGGAGGGGCGGGGCCCATCCGAAGTGGAAGGTCTTCTGAGTTTGATGGGCGGCGTCTGAGACTGTGTCTGTGTGTCTGGTTCCTCACAGTTTTCACTTTTCTCCAGTTTCTGCAGGGAGAGCGCAGGTGTGCGAGTTAGGGGTGAGTGTGTGTGAGGGTTTGTGTAAATGAGTATGTCTGTGAGCATGTTTGTGCATGTGTATTACACTTGTGAAAAAAGAGTGTGAAATAAGCATGTATTTGCTCCTCAGAGGCATATTGGACTGGGCAGGTGTAGCTGCAGATTTTCACTTCAGTAAGGCAAAAGCACACCTGATTCCACTTGTTTAATCAGTTGGTCTCAGTTTTCAAGTTAGCCCTTCATCAGTTGCCAAGTTCTGTATCACTCTTGGTTGTTTTTTTATTTTAGTGGACCACTCTCAAACAATGGAATGTGTAAAAAACCCAGCAACACTGCTGATACACTCATACCAGCACCACACCAAACCAGTACCATACCACTACCATGTCAGTGTCACTGCGGTGTTGACAGTGGTCCACCATTTAAATAATATCTGTTCAACAAGGGTCCAGTGGTCAAATACTGACCAGTGATGAGGCGCCTGAATGGGCGCCCTCTACCCCCAGGTCTCAAAAAAAGTTAATTCGTGCCCTTGCCCTCCTAGCTTGGTAGTACCATGGGAAGACCTAGCTAGCAACAAAATGTGAAAAAAAAAAACCAAAATGTTAATGCTAATGCTAATTTGTGCAGCTACGATCTGTAACCGTACACCTTTATAGTGGACATCTAGCTCATTAAGTGGACACTCAGCAGAAATACAAGGTAGGAGTTTCTAATAAAGTGGACATTTTGAGCATCTTTAGAGTTACACTAACAGTAATATTCAAATAATAAGCAAAGTTCTCATAAAAATACTTAAGTGCCATTCTATATTTTTTGCTAAACAAATAATGGAATAGAAATAAAGGTCTATTTTGAATTATACTTAAACCGTGGGCTCAAATAAAATATACAGACAGTGTTGCTCACTTTCACATTCTTGTTTACGATGATAACTTCTCCGCTGCTGTTGGTTGTGAGTCCGTGGCCTGAAGGGAAACTGCGCCGTGGCGGTGGAGGGGGTGGAGACTTGGACGGCTTCTCCGTTCGATACCGTGGCACTGTCAACTCCCCTGTCATCAGTCAGTCAATCAGACACACGTGCAAAAATAGGCATGCATGCACACACGAGCACACAAAGCTCTCAGCTGGAGTCCATTCAAATCTGCCCACACTCAAACAGAATTGCAGTCTATCACAAAAGGCAGTGCCGCACACAATACAGCAAAATCAATAACACAATCAATGTGAAAGAAGCAATGTGGAGTGCAGGGGCAATTATAAATAGAGCATTTTAAATTGAACTCCATGTGTACTAGATGTTTTTGAGGAGAAAAGTTCAAAGCCCCAAGCATGAGTTACCTAAACAGAACCATGAGACTAGCTCTGAGCATGTTCTGAAGGCCTTTGTTATTCGAGAACCACAATTCTAAGTCGACCCAAGTCAGATCTTTAAATCTTTGAACTGGGAGTCTTGCAAACTTGTCATGAAAACAGTTCTATTCAGTTCAGTATTATTTGTATGGTGCTTTTTACAACACATATTATTCAATTGCTCCTTTCCAGACATGCAGGTTCAGACATCAATAAGAGTCGGTGAGGGAGACTCAGGACTCCCTAAGAGCATAAAGAAGAAACATTGAAAGGAACCAAGACTCAAAAGCTGCGTTCCTAAGTCTAGACTGCAGCTGAGGTAGGCTGCATTTCTCGGCCACTACGTCATAGAAGGCTGTTCCAAAGTAAAGCACTCTTCAAATACAGCCTAGAAACGCATGCTACGTTCTAAGTGATTTCAAGGACGCAACTGATGTATCCTTCCCAGCTTTCGGTTACCCACAGTTCTCTGCATCCGAACAACACAAAGAAAAAAAAAAATAGCATCATGAAAATGACAGAAAACGAAGCCGCTGGGGCAGAGCTTGTTTAAAAACGTTAAAAAAGTTGTTCACATCCTTGAAATTGTCTTCATGACTTTATAAAGTGTAAATCAATTGATTAATTAAAGCATTCGTCCATATATAACGTATTTTAATCAGACGTATTTGTATATATGTAGTTTATCATACTACATAAGCTTGTTGGCATATTAGCTACCATAGCATCAAACACAATGCAACAGGCTCCATTTTCTCTCACCAGTTCCCTCACAAGTTTCACTGTGCAATTGCAAGAGGTGGGACCTTTCTGGTGACGTCACCACACAGCCCCGTTAGGACTGTTCCATTTGTGTAACCAATAGGCTACTAAGCAGGAGGCTTCATAGGACAGTCTTACCAAGGACCCGCCCTACCTCAGCTGCAGCCTAGGCTTTGGAATGCAGCTATAAGGAGAACTCATCTTCCTGTGAGCTGAACCAAATAGCGGGGTTTTCATACAAGCTTAACAATGAAGATTTCTGACCTACATTAAGGCGTTTTTTTTCTTGCATTCTCAGGTCATTTTGGCCTTGTAGTTCATGTGTAAAACTACAGAAGCAAATGTCAGACATCAAACATGTCTTGGCTGATTGACTATATATATAATTTTTTACTAAACTATTCCTTTAAGCAGATCAGATCATCAGATGTATTTAGCTCAATGACATGAATACACTAGAACATGGAAAACCCTCTAATAGCTTATGACTTAAACAGAACTTGCGTGCTCTGTTACTTGTATTGGTTCTGCTGAAGTCTAGTCTTACCTGATTCCCTGCGTGGGGTAGTGTCCTTACTGGCTGGTTTGGGTGGGGTTTTTCCAGGTTGGTGTTCAGGGGTGGAGGAGGGTGTGGAGGATGGCGTGACTGGTTTGGGCAGAGAGGAGAGCTGGGGTTTCGGGGGCACGGCCGGCTTGGTGATCTGCTTGGCAGCGAAGTCCAGATCAGGAATGGCCTTCATTAGCTCCGCCTGGGTCTCCTCCAAGAGACGATTAATGTCCTGGGCACTGAACTGGGTCAAGCTAGCCCGCTTTTCTTCCCAGTCCCGCTCTGCTGCCTAGACACACACAGATAAAGACAGGGTTAATATCCTAAGCTCTCTACAACTCCAAGGTAATATATCTCTGGGTACTTCTGCTTGCACTCTAATTCTCATTTCTGTTCAGACACAGTCCTTAGTCTCAACACCAACCCATTATTAAATCCAAACACAAACATGCATACACACATTTCCCACGCTTGAACACAGAACAAACATTTCCAGAGTGAGCACACATACAGAGCAATAACTAGATAAAAGAGGAATTTGTTACCAGGCGGACTTCTACAGATACTCCTTTGTCCGGTTCTCTGCGTGTGGGCATGTCCTCCAGGCCGCGGCCCTTTGCTGCACTAGCTGAGGTGTTGTCCTGTTCCGGCATGCTGCTGTCCATCGCCGCTGTGCTGGCCAGCCAGCTCCCCAGCGTGGTGGTGCCTACTAAACCGGCAGTGCCACCTAGAGTTGACCCAAGACTGGTGCCCAGAGCACTGGACAGACTAGCAGTGGCCCCTGGAATTAATAAATTTAATTAATGAATCAGTTGAGTCAGTTAATGAATCAGTCTGTCCACACAGCTGCATCCCTTGCAGCTTGTAATCTCTGCTCATTGTGTATCTCTGTATCTAGGCAGCAGCACTGACTCCTGTTTCTGTCAGTGTCTTAGCTTGACGGTATCATTAGACTCTTGCCTGTTTGCACTAGCTTAAGCATAAACCCTTTGGTCACCCTAGATAAGTGTCTCTGCTAAATGCCATATATGTAAATGTAAATGCTTCACTCCATGCATTGTGACCAGCCATTAAAGGGACAGCCCACTGTTGTGCTAGACTTGTACCTATGCTGGCAGTGTTGGTGAGGCTGGGACTAGTCCCCAGGTTGGCACTGGTCGCCAAGGAGGCCGAGAGACTGCCCGTGCCTGATAAAGTGGCTGCTAGGTCAGGCAGGCTGCTGAGAGAGGGACTGGTCAGGATGTCCAAATCGCAGCTCTTCGCAAAGTCAGCATCACTGGAGCTGGACATGGAGCTACTAAAGTCCTCTGGAGTCTTCCACATGCCTTCTGATACCTGCCTGCATGAGTACACATGCAAAGACATACAGATTGGTTTTATTTAAAGGTGTAGTTGTAGGTGTTGGGACAAGTGTATCAGCGATGTTTCTACAGTGTATCGACCAGTGGAGAACCCTCAGGGCTTCAAGACCTTGAGAGAAGAGGCCTAATGATTTCTGGGAGCTAAAAAATGTGTCTGTAAATTTTTAGTTAATTTTCTTAATAGTTTTGGGAGCACTAAAAGCCCATGGATTCACATATTTTATTCACTTTCCTTTCCTGTGATAAATTATATTTTTGAAAAAAGAAAAATATAAAAGGATATCTGTTTGGGACATCTCAAAAGAATCATTATGTAGGGTAAACCACACTTTGTTTTCTCAAGATAATGGTATAATCTTAGTAATATTATTGTACTATCTAAGGAAAACAACGTTTGTTATGACAATGATACTAACAAACAACTTGAGATCTTCAATTTAAATCATAAATACAGAACACATAAAATCAGAAATTAGAATAGAAATCCCAGCTAGCAGAAATTAGCATGATCATAGAGAGTTTTTCCCATTTATAGTCGATCTAAAGGCTTGGCTCAAATTGTCATGGTTCACCACAGGTATTAGCTATGGGCCTGTGTATGTAAGTGTTTTAGAGCTCACAAAATGTGTCTAAATCCAATAAGACACCTGAATATTTTATCATATTATTTTATTTGTTATCTAGGATTTAAATAGAGTCTACTATTTTTACTATTTTTTCATTGAGCTTAAGTTGGTTTCAGCCTCAAAACTTAATGATGTGGTTTGGCTTGGGTTTGGTTCGGACTGAAATCTAGAAATTTCTCCATATTCATGTTCATACCAAAATTTCAGGACTGACTACAGCTGTAGTGTGTGTGTGTGTGTGTGTGTGTGTGTGTGTGCATTACCTTCTCAGCAGTGCAAGTGTATCTGTGATGTTCCTGCAGCGTTTCAGCAGTGCATCCAGCCTCAGAGGCTCCTCCTTCAGAAACTTCACTGCCTCCACTTCCACCCTCAATACCACACGCATCTTACTCTGGAGTGTTGGGAATTGATCTACACACATACACACACACACACACACACAGTATACAGTCAGAAGACTTGACAGTCCTTTCATTTCTGTGTTATGACTGGCTGTGCTCATTACTCTGGTCACTCACTTTTGAGGTCAGTCAGAGTCTCTCCCAGTCTCCTGAGCTCCTGACTCTTCTGTTCTACTTCTTGTTCAGTTACCAGGCGATGATTCAGCCCTGCCCCAGTCTTCATTTCCTCCACTGAACGTTCCAGATCACTGTAATCATGATGAAACACACACGCATGCACATGATAAGCATACCAGTGTCCAGTGGTGTAAGTAGGATTTTATGTACCCCAGTGCAAAAAAAAAATATGCTCCCCCACATAAAAATTCTTTCAATGAATACAAATGATGACAAAGTATCAAACGTGTCTCAAACAAGTTAATGCTTTCAAGACATGCCACTCCACCCACTAACATCTAAAGTTAAACCGTTTTACAAGCACTTCCTCACTTGCACAAGGAAGAGAGGAATCAAAGGAAAATGAGTGGAAAAAACAGGAGTTTTTTTAATAAATTACTAAAAGAAACAGGGTAAGTATTTCTGTTCATGCTTTCAGTATGAGAAGACAACTCAAAGCTGAGAGAGTCTGAAAGGATACGTAGCTGTAAAGAAGCTGAGAAAACGAAATACACAAAAAGAAGTAAATTTTCTTAGAACAATGGAGTCCAGACCTCAACATCACTGAATTTGTTTGGGATTATTTGGTTTGTAACAAGCAGGAAACACATCCAGTGTCTGGCTTTAAATAAAGTGAACTGAGTGTCAATATTAACTCACTGCAGTTGCTGTATAATCAGTTCCTCCTCATTGAGATAGCGCAGTCTCTCCTCCTCCACTAGGAGGCGCTGGCGTTGAAGGGGGTCCTCTTGCGTCCGGGATGCTTCAATTAAGCAAAGACCTAAATCTGCCTCTGTCTGTCTCAGCAACGCATGCACTGAATCCTGATTCTGTAACTGCAAATACATACACACACACACACACACACACACACACACACACACACACACAGGTTTTATTACCATGATTCTGTGCATGAGCTGCAGTATCAGACAGAAGTTTGCTATTCATATAAGGGTTTTTCTTATGTTTATTGCTTCCCTCATTTAAGAATAAAAGTGAAGACATTAAAACTATGAGATAACAACAGAATTTCTACAATCAAAATTTTGGGCTTTTATCAATATTTACACTCACACTACCTCACAACAGCTTACTTGCTTAGCTTAATAAGGATAGATATTCCACAAATCAACTTTAATTGAGGTATAAACAGTAGTTAGGATAGCATAATGATTGTAGTTCAACGTCTACATTAGGCATCAACATGAACTATTTTTATTTATTTATTTATTTTGTATTAGAAACAAGTTTCAAGACATTGTGTCAGATTCTGTATTTTGTGCTATGTTCAAAGGAAATTTTAAAATGTCTGCATTAAGATGTGAACAAAGACTTTCAGAGTGGTCTGATGTACATTGGTACTGGTTGATTTTTGTGCTTATAAGAACCAGGGGTTGTTCTGTCTACACTGTAAATATAACCAAGTAACCAAAATGACCAGTTTTATTTGCAATGAAAGATAACTCACCTTAAACTCCCCTAAAAATCTTCCCCAAAAAAATCGCCCTATAATGTATATCTCCGGATTTTAACAATATATACTTTAAGCAAAAATCTTATCTTAAAACTATAGTAAGTGTCTCAGACTTCAGGTAACATAGTCACAACCATTTCATCTAATCTAGAACTATTATCTAGAACTGAACGTTTCACATCAAACCACTCTGAATGACTTTGTTTAATGATTTAGTTATGCAAAAATTCTGAAAATATCAGTGGAATTCCCCTTTTAAATTCTGTAATTTGTGCTTATATTATTTGCGCTCAGGATGTAGTCTGAGTGAATGTCAGGCTGTCTACTCGATCGTAATTCCAATAGCCTTAGCCACCATTTGTCAGAATGGGACAGTTCACAGCCTCTGTATAAAGACTGCAAACGTTCAGTCAGCAGAGTACAGTGCTGCAGTTTTTGCCCTGCATGTAGTGCTGTCTCTTCATTGGCCAGTCGCATCTGTCAATAAACTACATATTTATCAGACTGTGAGCTGTGTTTTTAAGAAGCTGAGATTATAAATCTTTAGAAATGTCTTTAAGATTATAAAAACAGGCATTTAATCATGAGTCCAAACTTTTGACCACTACAGTAAGTCACACACACTCACCTACTACTGGCGTTTTCTCTCATACATACCTGCAGTTTACGTAACTGCGTCAGCTGCCTCCTCAGCTCGGCTGTGCTGTGCTGCAGTTCACTCAGGTGAAGCTGCATTTGGGAGCGGGACATGTTGATCGGCTGGGACGCTCCAGTGGGAGGAGGTGGCATCAGGGCCAGAGGGGCTGAGGGAGTCGTAGCTGGCAATCAGAGACAAGAATCCAGGTCACATGATGGCAAGGATGAATTCATGCAACTCCAATGTTTTTCCCCTGTCTTTCTATCCAGAGCTATTCCAACACGTCTTATGAAGGGCCATTCAAAACACACACATGACACAGTCATGTGCAAAGGTTTGAACAACTCTAGTCAAATTACATGTTTTGTTGAAAAAATAAGTTAAAACAAGTTTACATTATCCTCTGCAGGGAACTTATTTATGAATTTAATATTTTAGTGTTAAATGTCTATTTATTTACTAAATTTAACAAAAATTGTGTTCTCTGTAGAGGATGTGTACTTTCACACAAGAAAATCAACAAAACAAGTAATTTGACCAGGGACTGCCCAAACTTTTGTCTACTACTGTAAGCAATAATTGGGCATTTTGCTCTGTTGGCATCAAATGCCATAAAATGCTGCTGTCTCTTTCAGTACCAAACTGACTGAAATTACACAGCAGTTAACCGACATCATAACACTATTCTGTAGGGCAGTGTCCATAAGGCAACAAGTGTCACGCTGCTTTCAAGTGCAAGCGGGGTGGTAATTTTCTCAGAAGACTAACCTGTTCACCTCACATGCACATTTGTGTGTGACAAACAGAACGCTGAGGTTGTGAAGTAGGTGTTTTAGTTCATTATTGAGCTGGCATCTATCGGTTTAGCCTATTTTACTGGTGTTTTGAACTCATACGAACTGTGGGTTAACTGCACATGATTAACATTTACTTTACTATCACCATTTAAAATATTTATACAGTTTGTCTGATTGTTTTCCATTGTTTGACGTTCTACTTCTGTCCTCCAACATGATGCAAGCAGCACTAACATCAACTCAGCCTATTCATGCTGCATCAAAAATTTTGTACCGACTTCCTCATCTTCAAATTAAAGGTTTTTTTTATTAGTCATGACAGTTTTTTGGGTGAAATGACATAGCATGTTATAACAACTGACTTCACAGCTTAGTTGTAACACAGTGACATAATGCTGATGATGTGAGAGCTTAAATCTTATAAATGCTAAAATGAAACTCAAACAGAGGTCAGTAGAGTAGCCTAAGTCAATACTCAAACATATTGATGCTTGCATAAAATAATTACACAGGTAAAAGTACCTTCCAAAAACATCTTGAGTACAAAAACAAAAGTAGCAGGTTGAAAAATCTCAAGTACTGAGTAATTTGTAGAACTGCAGTGGCACCTCTTAGTACATCCAGCATTTGTCAGTATAGTATCTGAAGACTGTACAGCTCTATGCTTCTTCAATTTTGGGATTTTGGTCTAAAAAACAATGCTAAAGCTCCAGTTGGAGATGTGACCAATCACAAAGCAGCAGAGATCACCATCTCACCATCAAAAATGACATAAAACACAAAAAAGAATTAGTAACTAAATATGAACGGCTGAAATATAACTGAGTAAAAAGTAGATTCCTTTACTCCTCCAATATACTTGAGTAGAAGTAAAAATATTATGATTTGAAAATACTATGGAGAATAGAAATCCATCAGTATTTCACTTATGTACATGTACTTGAGTAAATGTAACTAGTTACTACCCATGTCTGAACTCAGAAAATGCTCACATTTGTTCTACCAGCCTCACTTGGCTGTTATGTCATATTATCTGCATTATGTCGCTGTGACACACGCTGAACTACAACGTCTATATCATTTCACCCCAGAAAGTGTCATAACAAAAGCTCATGTCAGGAAAAAAACTGACTTGACAGTGATGATAGGAAAACTTAACATCATAGTTAGAATATGCAGCCTTTATGATGAATGACGCCTACTGGAATAAATGTTTATAAATGTTTATGCAGGTCTATGCCAGTTTTCATGAAGGGATTATGTAGGTGTCATGCATTCTTATAAGTAATCACTTACAGTAAAGTGTTATCGCCGACATTGTATCACTTAATGACAACTGACGCCATCTGGTGTACTAATGTGTGGAGACAGCTAACACTAGTATGTCAGTGTTAGGCAGTATAACTAATCACTATTTGTACTAGCATGTAAAACCAGTCCACTAGTCCACTACACAGGTGTACAATCACAGAATGTAACCCACAGTTTAACAACCACACTCTTCCCCATTCATCACTGGTTTCTGACTTGACCAGGATCGGACACACTATAAATCCAAATGTTTGTAGACACCTGCTCACCCAAGTCAAGTCAAGTGGTCTTTATTGTCATTCCACAATATAAATTATATACACTGGAACGAAATGACATTCAATTTTCCTCTGAAATCAAGTGTATAAATGGGAAGTTTGCCTTCCTTTGCTGCAGTAACAGCCTCTTCTGGGAAGGCTTAACATGTGATGCTGGAACATTGCTGTGAGAATTTGAAAACATTTAGTCACAAGCGCATTAGTCAGGTCAGGTAATGATGTTGAATGATTAGTTCTGCATCACCAACTCTCCACTCCAGCTCATCCCAAAGGTATTAGATGGTGCTCCATTACTCCACAGCTCAGGGCTGGGGGTTTTATACCCGAAACCCCAATGCCGATGCTTGCCATTGACCAGAGCATTGGCATATTGGTAGTCTATTGCCAATGCTTTCTATGGCATGGTTCTATCGTATTGCCATGGTAGTGTGTGTGGAGCTGGTATGTAAGTGTATCAGGCTGGTATGAGTGGTCAGAAACTGGAATAGAGGATGGAATAGAGGATGTCTCACACAAATTGTGTATCAGCAGATATAGTCTATTAATGCCTGCATTACACACAAAGCGTATCATGCCTGTTCTATGAGTAGTCCTTCATAAGAAGTACTCTTTTTGTTTGGTGTTATTTCTTGTAAGTTGCCATTTTCAAGATGTCAAGGCCTATACTCGACCCCCCATTTACATCCACATACTTTGGTATTCACCACATCCTCCACACAAAAAAAAAGTGATGCACTTAATTTACTTAATTCAAATGTGTACATCATTTCCACACAAAGAAAAATCACTTGCTTTCAGTTTTCAAAGATACCTCCAAAGTGCAGTCTTAGAAGGTGGTTGCATTTTCTGCTTCTCACAATCCATGTAATCCTCCACATCTCAGATGCCCAGTTTTGGTGTTCTAGAGCAATTATCTTCATATTTTCTATTTTCTTTTCTCAGTAACAGCTTCTTGACAGCTACATATCCATTCAGACTCAGTGTTGAGATGTTTCCTCACAGTGGAAAACACCTGAGGATTGTTTCAGATCTAAAGCAAGAGTAAAGTTAAATTTTCCTATTTCACAAAGATGAAAGCTATAAGTACTGTTTTTCTTACAGTTCTGGTAGTCCACATTATAAATGTGGTAGTATCATTTTTGTTACATTTTTGTGAATTACTTGTGCTTAACGGCCATTTTGACTGAATTATATAAAGGGTGGTACTTTTGCGGTTTACCTACTGTTGTTACATGACATCATATGTCTACTGATGTTATAGCTTACTTTACCTTGCTTTATGGCACTGCAAGTAATTTTGTGCTATTTCAGGCTAGATTTGTGACAGAATCTGATCAGTTTAATTAAATCTTTTCCTCCGATATCCAATCCAGCATTTGCTGTTGATATTGACTCGATCAATACCACAGTATTAGGTTGGGGCCATCTCTACTTGTTTTATAACATTTTATTCATGTGGAAATGATGTTTGATGACATTTGAACCAAGTAAACTGAATACATTGCTTTCTTCAAAGCACTCGTCATCCTCCAGGTAAAAACAGCAACATGGAACTCTACTGTATAAGTTCAATACACAACTTCTACACATGCAACACACATCCAGGTTATCCAAAAGAATCAACTCAACCTGTTAAACACGCTCAGTAATATTTCAAAAAGCTAATATTTAAAACACACAGCTTGCAACGGAGCAATATCCACTGTCGTTATTGCTCTCTTCAGGGAAAAAAGGGCCACAGAACATGCCGCAGAGTCAAACCGCTTTCTAGGGTTCATTCCAGGAATGCAGAGGGGTTACCATGGATACAACAGATACATTCCAGGGTCAGACACACACACGCACACTCAACCCGACACTCTTGCACACACACATACACACAGAAGGATCTTCCAAACTCAGGGATCCATGTTTTTCCCCCCCAAATATCACCAGCATCCACATAGTTTTCAGGGTGGAGGAATCCCTGAAATCATTCCACACGCTGATGAAAGACAGAAGAGATTGGACAACACCTTCACTGGGGAACACCGAAGAGAGAGAGAGACAGAACAACAGAGAGACACGCAGAAATACCTTTTCTTTTTCTAAACCTGCCAGCTGAAACACAAAACATGTCAGTGGTTAAGCGTCCCCATCGTAGGCCAGCGTGTCTCCTTTCAATGAATGCAGGTGATGTGAGGCAGAATGTGAGAGAAGTGTCTCACATACACACACACGCACACACATACACACACACATACGCAGTTTACTCACTCTCAGGAGCTGAGCAGTCGCTCGCTGTTTCAGCCTTGTCACTGTAAAAGAAAGACAGCTTTCTCACACTACAGCCCAGTCTGCGTTTGTTAAAGAAATAGTTCAGTAAAAAAGATAACGTACACTATTTCCCCCCTTTTTATCTCAAATGAAGTTAATCAGTCAAAATATATTTAATATCTGAAATGATTTCATGATTTCTGGGAACTAAAAAAATCCAGGGTCAGAAACTTCATACCTCTTTGTCTTAAAAGGGACCTATTTTCAATGTTTATAATTTTATTTTGGGGGTCTACTAGAATAGATTTACATGCTTCAGTGTGTCAAAAATGTATTTTCGCATATTAGTGCATCTATATTCACCCTCTATCTAAAACGCTAGTAGAGCTCCTATGTCCTAAGCTCCCCATCCTGATGAGCTCAGTGTGCTCGGATTGGTCAGCTTGCCCATTTTGTTCTGATTGGTCAAGGCCCAGAGTGGCTTACTGCTACAAATTCTGCACCTACACCACTGTGGCTATTCTTACAATACATTTGTCCATTTTTCAGTTGACAGTAGCCTATCATATAGTGTCAGAAATCACATAGGCAAGTCTATTTAAGGAGAACTAGAAGAAACCTGATGATTTAGGCATGCAGCTCACACTAATGATAATTACTCGAGTATAAACTTACAATACTCGTTTCTTTCATTGCTTGTAGCTACATTAGCCATGTAGGTTTAGGGCAAAACTAAAAAAAACAAACTTTGGACAACAACATGACTTGGCTGATAAAGGTAAAGGGAGAATGGTGTAAAGTAGATTTTTTTCCTTTAGGTATCTAAGGAACAATGCTGATTGCCTGTGCACGAAATGCTTTTCTTCAACTCTAAATTTTATTATTTAATTCATGCAGAGGCAACTCCACTAATTTCAAGCATTTACGCCTAAGCCTTCAGATCAAAATGTCTTTAAGACAATGTTTAAGTGTGAAAAATGATAAACTTTTGACTGGCACTATATTCATCCATCTTCTTTTTTTTTGCAGAGTCAGAAGCCTGGTGTCACAGCTTTACCAGTGTAAGTCCTAAATGCAAAAATACATGCAGAATATGAAATATTTATATGTACACTGGTGTAGTCCAGGTTTTGCTTACATCTTGCATGTGGCTGGAGTCTTAGAAAGGCTTTTTTATATAATATTTTTATGAGAATGAGGAACTATGCTTTATGGACTGTCATTCCTCTTACATGCCGTTGGGGTCTTAGCAAACTTTATGTGTTAAAAGCATTTAGTAGTGCTTGTATTATTGAATACTTTTCATGAGAAAGTAAAAACGTGGCTTACGGACTGTCAGGGGCCCTGGTTAGAACGCTCTGGACCAGACCGGTCAGGCTGGCTATCTGCTTCTCCATTGCCTCCATTCGCTCCCTGCAAAACAGAGAATACTATAATAATAACAACTATAACAACAATAAAAATAAAAACCTTTTATACATAGAAATCTCACTACACACAAAAAGTATGTCATTTGCCTGTAAAAGTCAAAGCAGAATAACCCCTTACCTGGTCTCCGTTTCATTGCCAGGTAATGGCGTAGTGTATCCTGGCAACCCCACACCTTCAGCTCCAGGTCCTCCTATTACACACATTTGGTCCAGCGGTGGCCCCCCACCCCGGGATTTGGGGCTCTCTACGAACACCGTCCCATCCTTTCTGAATGCCTGCCTGCCTGGCGACCCCCGGCCCGGCTGCGGTCCGTACGGGTCTCTTGCATCCAGCAGCTTCTGTGGCGAGGCCGGGGGCAGCGTGCGGAAGCCAGCAGCAGCATAAGGGTCAGCGTAGAGGGGACCTCCAGGCCTGTAGAGGGCACCCTCCAACTCGCAGTGCAGCGCAGCAGCGGGGTAGGGCCCCAGAGAGCGAGCAGAGCCGCGGCGGTAGGCAAGGGCCTGAGGTGAGTGGACCAACGCATATGGGTCAGCATAGATGGCCTCGTTCTTCAGCAGCACCACACTCTTAGATGACGACGTCAGCTCCTCATCTGGCTTCACATCTCGACGCTCCAGGATGGCACTAGGCGAGGGGCAGAACACGGGCTGCCCGTGAACAGCCTGCCCAGGGACATGGTGCTGGTGCTGGTGCTGGTAGGGGTGAGGCTGGGGGGAAGGCGGAGGGCCTCCAGCGTAGGATGAGGGCCGCCCCCCAGCGTAGGAGAGGCGGGAGTGCGAGCGGGACGGCGAGCCCGAAGGGGATGAGGAGGAAGGGAGGGTGTTCAGACGGCGAGTAGGAGATGACTCCCTCGAGGCATATACCAGCTCTCTCTGGTGTTGGGGGGGGGTTGAAGGAGGGCAGCAGGTTATATGAGTGTAAAAAGGAGGAGAATGAGCGTGAGAGAAACGTGTGGCATTTTAAAATTCTTTCAGTGACTGACACTACATACTGCATAGCCAAGTTAAAGTGTCACAGCGATGTCACACAGCAGGAAATGTGTCAAGAGTTTTCACCCAGGTAGACACCGCGACATTCACACAGAGGAGTAGCAGTAAGTCTTTCTCTCATTCTTTCACTCCTTCTCACTCACTGTCTAGGTGTACATCAGGGGTGCCAAACTTCAGTATGGTGGGTCACAATATGTCAGAATGCAGACTTTAGCATTCTGCCTTATTTAACACCTGAGTCAGCTCATTGGCTAAAGGTGGGTATACACCATATGACTTTAAATATCCTAACAGGTTTAGAAAAAAGTGTCTCTTTGTCTGGACTTGATTGTGCTTTTATGTACACAAGAAGCGTAGTGAAAACACACACTGGGGATGAATATGTAGTTGAGAAATGCAGATATCAGAGTGAGAGCAGGAAAAACAAGTACTATGAACTGACAGCTGTATTGAAATAGTAAAGAGAGTTATTCTTTGCCTGTGTTCAACTAGAAAGTCCTCTCTGTTTGCACTCCCTGAACACATACACTCTGCATTTTTTCTCTCTCTCACTGGCTGTTGCCTGAATCAATCGTTCAGTTTCATCGCTGACCACTCACATTACCCGACTCGTGAACGCTTAGAAACATAAAAACGTTTGAAAATATCAGAAGCCCTCTGATCACTCCAGAGCTCAATCAGAAGGCTAAAGATAATGTTTCCTCTCACACTACCATCCGCACCGTCAATCACTTCCAATCAAGCTCCTGACCAGAAAAAATCGTTCCGGATTGTGAATGTTTTCATTGGAAGGGTTTAATTGGGTTTCAAGTCAGGCTTAGTTAGTAACATGATATTCATGCCTACATTCACCATCCACTTCATCAAAAACACCTACCTTGCAGTTCCACTTACTGGTCACTTTATGAGCTTCACCTACACTACCGTTTAGTATTTATCTACACTAAGAACACATCGTAGTGTACACGATGTGGATTTAATTTAGGGATGCACAATGATCTCAGAATCACATCGGCAGATAATTGCTTCTCAATGATCTGTATCAAACAGATCAATATTCAAAACAGAACCAATATTTATTGCACCTCAGAAGAGCAGAACATTCAGGTGATGCTGGGCTACTGCGCCAAAATGCAAACTGTTTGCCAAAAGGTATTTTAAAATGTTTTACTCAATATTTCAAGCATTCTGTGAACAGAGAAGTTTTTAGATGAGTAATTATCTATTTACATTAATTGTTTGGTTAAGTTTGATTTTCCTGCCTTGAGATTTGAACTCAATTCATTTGAAACTTTCAATTCTAATTGACATGATGAATTCTGGATAGTAATTTTGTTCTGACATTATTCTGGATGTTATACAGCTTTGTCAGTCATTTTAGAAACTTCTAAGGCTCTGTTCATTATTCTGGGCACATTTAACATTTCTTATTTTAATTTACAGCTTCCTAGTGTCCTACTAATGCTTTGACCTGTAAAACTGCACACGTTAGAATCATTTTACACACTTGCCTGCAACCAAATTGCTTTTGTAATATAAAAAACACTGATTCCAAACTTTTAAACAGATACTGTACTTTATAGGTTCACTATATACAGTACTGTGTACAGGTGTGTTTACGGTACTGTGTTTTAGGCACTTAAATTATATTTAAAATGCTATTTTCATGACAGTGTGTTTTTTTGCTCAAAAAACACAAATTTAAGAATAAATACAAAAAACATAAATATAGAAAGTATTAGTTTTATGTATGTCAGTGTGTTCGTTTAACCATTTCCATACCTTTCTCTCCTTGAGGAAGCCCAGTATTAACTGTAGTTATCATATCACAGCACCTGCTTTGGCTAATCAGTACTTCATTAAATTAAATTTACATTAAATGTACTGGTGGTGGAATTGAAGAAATCTATGCTAGCTGGAGGCATTGAGAAGACATCTGGAGCCAAACCTCTATACCTGTAACAGTCAGCACAGTATAAAAAAAATACACACTAACCCGCAGATCTCCGTTGGCAATGTGCCCATGGTGTCCGTGGTGGGGGGTGTTATAGGGCGTGTCCCGAAGCGGAGGCTCACGGCAGTAGATCTTTATGACACAGCGATCCTGAACGTCTCGCGGGTCCTCCAGCTCATAGAAGACGTTGCGTGCCTCGTCCTTGATGAGGATTGCTGTGCTGGGCGAGCGCAGAGCCCCCATAGTCAGCTTCTGCGGGAACATATGCACGATGAGAGCGTGCAGCGTCTCCATGCTGGTGAGCTCATGTGTGATGTGAACACGCCTCGTCTCATCTCCAAACTGCAGGAACAGGACCCCTGCAGACGGAGAGAGGGGGAGAGAGTGAGGGAGAGCGAGAGAGTGAGGGAAAAGGAAAGAGAGAGGGAGGAGGAGGGAGTGTAATGGCAGGGGTCACAATGGGAAGGAGGAGAGAGAAGTAAGAGTTAGAAAACAAGTGTGTTGGGTGTGCATGTCTATGGGAGTATGCATTAGGTGTGTACGCAGTGTGCATACAAAAAAGGAGTTTAAAGTGTGAAGTGATGTGTCGTTGTGTGTGCTTACTTTATGCACTGAGCATGTGTGTGTACCAAGGCCATAGCTATGGGTGGGCCTGGGGACAGGGCCAGCTCTAGCATTTTGGGGCAGAAAGAAGGATTTCTTCAGAGGTCCCTAATCTTGCTATCAGAAGCACTGTAAAATTGGGGGCTAACTAATAACAATGACTACCACAGGCTGTCTAAATTACATACATCTCTAACTGGCTAATTTGTGTATTGCTGAAGATTGGATGCTTGTTTAGAGTTCCAGTAAGTTATAATTAAAATTACAGATAATCTTTTCTAAATTCTTGATCCAGGGCTGTGTCTAATTAGTCAGTATTTCTTGCTCATCCAGATAACTTTAGGCTTAATTCAATCTAACCTAGGTGGCAGTGGCCGCAGTGTTGCTTTTACCATAATAAATGCTTTCTAAATACTTTGGTAATATTATTTCTTCTTCCTTCCTCGGTGACTCCTCCACCTGTGTCATGTGATTGACTGTTTGTCATGAACATCACACTTTAATGTACACACACACACAGATTAATCACAGCTGAATATTTGAATAATAAATAATGTAAATAAAAACAAAATGCCATGATGTGCAAATCATTTAAACCCTATATTTCATTGAAAATATTTCAAAGACAACATATCAAATGTTGAAACTAAGACATTTTATCATTATTTGAAAAATATATGCCCCTTTTCAATTTGATGCCAACAACACGTTCCAAAAATGTTGGGACGGGGGCATGTTTACCACTGTGTTTCATCATCTCTTCTTTTAACAATACTCTGTATAAGTTTGGGAACTGTGAAGACCAACTGCAGTAGTTTTGACAGTGAAATGTTTTCTCGTGCTTGTTTGATACAGGATTTCAGCTGCTCAACAGTTCAGGGTCTCCTTTGTTGTATTTTTCGTTTCATCATGTGCCAAATGTTTTCAGTGGGTGACAGGTCTGGACTGCAGGCATGCTGGTTTAGCTGGTTTAGCAAGGCCTTCCTTGAAAATGATGCTGTCTGGATGGCAGCATATGTTGCCAAAACATGTATCTATTGTTTAGAATTAATGGTCCCTTCACAGATGTGCACGGCAGCCATGCCATGTGCACTAATGCCCCCCCATACCGTCATGAATACTGGCTTTTGAACTGTGCACTGATAACAAGCCGAGTGGTCTTTAACCTAGAGGACACATGTCCATGATTTCCAAAAAGAATTTCAGATGTTGATTTGTTGGACAATAGGAGACTTTTCCACTTCACCTTAGTCCATTTTAAATGAGCTTGGGCCCAGAGAAGGTGGCAGCATTTCTGGGTCCTGTTTATATTTGGTTTCTTCTTTGCGTTTTACAGTTTGAACTTGCATTTGTGGATGCAGCGACAAACTGTTTTCACAGACAGTGGTTTTCAGAAGTGTTTCTAAGCCTGATTTCCACTACAGAATCATGTCTGTTTTTAATGCAGTGCTGTCTGAGGGCCCAAAGATCATGGCCATCAAATACTGGTTTTTGGCTTTGTCCCTTGCATACAGAGATTTATTGTAAATGTACCGTAGATGATAAAAAGCAAAAGTTCTTTGCTATTTTATGTTGAGACACATTATTCCGGAATTGTTGCACTATTTGCTCATGCAGTCTTTCACAGAGTGGTGAACCCCTCCACATCTTTACTTCTGAAAGATCTGGGATGCTTTTTTATACCAAATCATGTTACTGACCTGTTGCCAATTAACCAACATGTGTTTTTTTTAGCATTACACAGCTTTACCAGCCTTTTGTTGCCCCCGTCCCAACTTTTTTGGAACGTGGTGTTGGCATCAAATTCAAAATGGACATATATATGTTTCAACATTTGATATGTTGTCTTTGTACTATTTTCAATGAAATATAGGGTTTAAAAGATTTGCACATCATTGCTTTTTGCTTTTATTTACATTTTTATTCACATTTTCTGAACTTTTTTGGAAATGGGGTTGTAGAATTTAGACAAAATTCTATCTGAACCCAACTATAGGTGGGCAACATTCTGTCTGAACCCAACTGTAGCCTAATGAAATTCCATCTGAACTTGACTGTAGTCAGAGAAAACCCCGGTAGAACTCAACAGTAGCCCATTAAAATTTCATCTGAACGTGACTGCTGCCCAGCACAATTCTGGTGAAACCTGACCATTTTTTCTCCATTTTTCCCCACCAATTAAGCAGTAGCCAATTCCATTAATATAAGCTACCCAACTGGGAGAGTGAAGACTAATACACGCTTCCCCAAAGTCACATAAAACCAGCCACTGCATCTTGTAAAACTGCCTGAATGCAACATCATTGGACTGCTCAACATGTTTAAAGGAGAACATTAACTGTCATTGACTGAGAACTTTAACGGTTGTGTCAGACGCCCACATTTGCTAATGCTGTGCTGAGTTATGGGGAAAGGGAGACCAGTTCCACCCACCTATAGAGAGTGAAGCCAATAATGCTCTCATGGACTCCTGGCCATGAAGAACTGAGGCACTGCCAGCATCAAACCTGCGATGTCCTGACGATAGGGTCCACATCACTCAGTAGCCTCTAACAAATACTGTCTAAACATTACTGTATGCTGATGAAAATCTTGCTAAACCTAAGGCTTGATAAAACTGTGTCTGAAGCCGCCCAAAAGTAGTCTGACAAAACTGCGTCTGAACCGGTCTGTAGCCTCACTGAAGCCTGACAAACCTGTGTCTGAACCTGTGTGTAGCTCGACTAAAGTCCGATAAACTGTGTTTGAACCTGACAGTAGCTTGACAGAGCCCAACTTTACCATAACAAAATTCTGGCTTAACGCAAACCTAGTCTGAGAAACATGTGGTGGAACGTGACTGTAGCCTGGTTTATCTGGTGTAACTGTGAACCGGCCTAAAGCTCTAGAAATTCTGGCAGAACCTGACTGTAGGCTGAAAAAATTCAGTGTAAATTGACAAAATTCTGATGGAACTCTTGGTAGCCCAACAAAATTCTGTCTGAACCTGAGTGTAGTCCATTAAAATTCTGTCTAAACCCAACCTGAATATAACCACTACAAATGGGACACTGAATAAAACTACACGTTATTAATGATAGCACTTATTAAGTTAGACTGCTGTCATGGATCTTTGTACCACCATTGCATCATCATGAATGACTCCAGTGGGTCAGATTAAAAACTGAAGGTGAAAATAATAATAATAATAATAATAATAATAATAATAATCATTAAATAAATAAATAAATAAAATGAACAAAATGCAGGCCCAAATCCATTGAAGGTGAGACACTGTGAGAAACCTGAAAGTGAAATTTGAAACCTACATAACAGATGAGAAATGTCTGACTGCATATGAAGTGTGATAGTGACAGAGTGTGTGTATTTGAATGTGTATGCAGTGTGAGTGTATGTGTGGGAGCTGGGTGATACCAGGTGCTCGGAGTTTGCTCTGGCTGGGAGAGCGTGCGAGTGGGAGACTCTGTCTGAGGCGGTTGGTGCGGCTGAAGCCCAGAGGCAGGTCAGCGTCGGCCATGCTGTCTAAACTCTCCGCTGAGGCGTAGAACGCCCTGCCTCCCACCTGCTCACCCAGAGACTGCTGACCACCACCAGCCCGTGGAGTCCTTGCCTAACGAGAAGGAGAGAAAGGGAGAGTGTCATGGTAAGGCTATAGAGATTTTATCAGAAATCCCTACCTTGTGCAACATTTAAAGTAAAAAAATACATCTGATTAAACATATATTAAGAAACATGGGGTGATTACTGGCAGGATTACATTCAAACATTTAAACATACATGCAAACATTCACCTTTCATCAAAATTTGACATTCTGAATAAAAAATATGTCTTAAGAGTAGCGCAGAGTTTTTCATTTTGGGAAGGGGCTGGGGCTGCTGCCAGCAGAGAAATCTGAAAAAGAATCCCCCTCACAAGCCTAGTTATTCATATGGCTAACTTTGAAATTTCAGAAGGTATTTTATTTGTAAACAAGAGATCTGCAGCGTTTTTCCAAAGATACAAAACGTCTACAAACTGATCTGGAATTCTTATTATTATTATATATATAAAATTCTACTGTCTGACTCACTATGAATCTAACTTTTGTTAATGTGCTGAAGAGAGCTAACATTAAATAAGAATAATGTGCAACAGACCAATAAACATGAAGAGTCTCAAAGTGATAAAGTTTCTTTTTCAGTATATGTGATTTTGTTACTAAAACAATGAGCTCCCACTTTTCTTTTAAAACTCCTAGGACACACTGATTTCTGTGGACTGCCAAAACCACTGAAAACTAAAGGCCCATCTATAAATTACATCGCAAATTGAAGTCTGAGCACAACACTTCAATGTTATAACTTGTATTGGCCTTTTAGTGCATAAAACACAGATGATGATCAGTCAGACTTAGAATCACCTCTACTTATAATCATGATTGATGATGGGTCTCAAAAGATGATGTCCACCGGATAATTAAGTCACCTATTATACATCATTTAGCTTCATAAAACAGTGTGGTTGTTCTGATTGCCTTGGGTTAAGTTAGTCATCTTGTCTTCTTTTTCTTCTGTTTTTATTTAATTATATGACTTTTAAAAAGGCAAGTAATCCAAACGTAATGGAAAAAAAATCAGATTACATTACTTTAATGTAGTAATCTTTTGGATTAGGTTACAGATGGCAGTTTTTAACATGTAATCTGTAATCTGTAACCCCTCCAAACCTGCAGAAACAAAAGACAGTAATCAGATTACTGGTACTTTATAAAAGTACCAGCAGGATTACATTAAAGTCACTTATCACTCATTGTGATTTTTTGGCCTGTGCTTGTCTCTACAAGCTAAATTTGCCTGCTAAATGGTTTTCGTGATTTTCCATGACATTTTTTCCCTTTTTTTCGAGTTTATCGCTTGCACAACACAAGGGGAGCAGAGAGACTCTCATCAAAGAAAACAATCTCATGACAAACAATGTGTTTACTATGGCAGCAATATTAATTTAGGACAGACAGATATAAGTTAAGCTATAATTCTCTTTGTTCATGTCGTAAATTTTAGATTTTTCCCTCAGTTTCTTTCACTGCTGTTCATTCGGGAGTGATGTAGTGTCTGTATGCTTGTTGGAATTGTGTAAATTAGACATTCAAAATTGCGTTAGGATGAAATGCTTTCCCATATTTTGGGGCAATTTCTGAAAGGGCTAAACAGTTTTCTCAGCTAGGTAATCCACATACTTCCTAGGAGTTTGAAGGGTGGGCTACCTTACAGATTACATTTCTTTACACATGTTGTGTATTTTCTCACAACGGAATGTATGTTGTCCTGACCAAACTTGCAAGACAATTACTTAGTATAAATTCCTGCATGGAGACCTGTTGGCCAGACTGGGTTAGCAGACGGACAGCACACATCAAATAAAGACATCTTTTCTGCAAATCCTGCTCTCCTGACTCTCTACATTGGTACAGAAAAGATTTACAACACAGGTAATCAGTAATCTGTACTGGAATACATTTTTACGTAACACTACCTACCCTGCATTCTGGTGTACAGAGATTGTAGCCAATTTGTTGATGCACAATTTGTGCAAGTCATCCTTTAGCTCTTTATCAATGGTCAGTTTCTGACCACAGAAGGTCAGCATAACATTCCTAACCTAGCCACGACACTAATGTGTGTAAAACTCTATCAACACTGTGAAGTCTGATACACTCATACCAGCACTACACACACTACCACACCACTACCACGTCAGTGTCACTGCTGTGCTGAGAAGAGACCACCGTCCACATCATATCTGATCAACAGTGGCCCTGTGGGCAATGATGAATGGGGTTGGAGGGTGGCCGACAGATTGTGCATCAACAGATACAGTCTCTAACAGTATACCTACAGTTGTATGCAAAAGTTTGGGCACCCCTGGCTGAATTACATTTCTTATTGAATTTTAAAGCAAACAGACATAAACTCAACCTGTGCAGCAAACTACTTTAAAATGAAAAATAACATTTTTCTGCAAATGTTAACAACAGTTACTTTACATTTGAGTAAAGAGTGTAGAAAAAATAAGGATTGATGAGTGCCAGACTCATCAATCCTTGTGCTAACACTCAATAACCATTTCAGCCCCCAATTTCCACTGTCTGAAATTTTGCAGGAAATATCTGACACAGGAGTGGTGGTGCTCTGCTCTACTGTGCAGTGTTGCTTGCACAAACATGATCTGCATGGAAGAGTCATCAACCTTGCCTGCTACATCATCACAAATTTCATGTCTGAAGTATGCAAAAGAACATATAGATAAGCCAGAGGAATTCTGAAAATAAGTGCGGACTGATAAAGTAAGGAGGACATAATCACCAAACGTATGTTTGGAGAAAAAGAACAACATTTGATGACAGGAGCGCCTTGCCAACTGTTAGGGATGGAGCTGGATCTATAACACTTTGGGGTCGTGTGGCAGCCAGTGGCACAGAAAACACTGCACAAGTAGATGGAAGAATATATTCCATTAAAAATCATCAAATTCAAATATGAATACTTTCAGTCCAGTCAGTTAAGAAACTAAAGCTGAAAAGAGACTGGCTCCTACAACAGGACAATGATTCAAAACATACCATCAAAATCCACCATGAAAATGCAAACTGAAGTTTTTGCATTGGCCCTCAGTCCCCTGACTTGAACATCAGTGAAAATCTGTGGGCAGATCTTAGACACACTAATGACTCAAGAATATCGGGAAACAGTGGAAGAAAACTCCTAGAACAAGAACAAAAAGACTTCTAGCTGGATCACAAAAAGCATTTACAAGCTGTAATTTCTGCCACAGTACTAAGTACTGATTTAAAAGAGTGTCTACATTGTTGCATATGCCACAATACTATTTTTAAATGTATCTAACAAAAGTAACTGCGCACTAACATTTGCAGAAAAATGTTAATATTTTTTTTGTTATAGTTAAGTTTACTGAATAGGTTGTGTTTACTTCCCTTTACTTTTCACTTAAAAATCAACAAAATATGTCATTTGGCCAGAGTGCCCAGACGTTTGCATACTGTATACAGTTGCCTAATAAGGTAGCTGGAACTAAAAATGACAAGCATGTAATGACAAAGGTAAAAAATAAAAGTGGACATTGAATGTACATACACGTTCACTTTCAGTTCAGAAGGGAAAATACACCAGGGAGCAGCAAGAAAGTTTCCACTTTCACCAATTAGGCCTCAAACAGAGAAACGGTACAGCATAGGTCTGTAATGAGTTGCACTGTAGCAAGTAACAGATGTGCAGGATCCTCCCTGATTTCTGATGGGAAGGTGGAGGACTGTCTTGGGAAAAATTGAGATGTGTGTGTGTGTGTGCATATGTTGGAGTTCCCTCGAGTCAGTGTTGCTGTTAGGTAGTGAAGGGGAACTAATGAGGCTAAAACATACAAAGAACCTCTCTCTCTCTCTCTCTCTCTCTCTCTCTCTCATAACTCCAAATCACCAGGTTTATAAAGCATTCCTCAATATTCATGTAAATGAATGCGACACTCACTGAGACACATAAAACTCTCTCTCATACACACACACACAGACACACACAGCTTCATGCATCTTTATGTTAGCATTGAATTAAAATTACCACAGTCTCTTACACAGCTATAGGCAGCAAGGGAATACATGCAATGACGTTATCAATGACGTTATCAGTAATCAGGATAAAAAAAAAGGTAAATGTATTCCATCACAGTTGCAGTAAAAAGTCATACATAGATAAACTATAACAACAGAGTGAAAAATGTCACGAGTCATGTAGATTTAGAGAGTTCTTAAGCTGGGGAGAAGGGGCAAGGTGGTCCTGCCGCCAGGAGAGAATTCTAAGAAATCGCCCTGCCCAGCAGCAGTTCACGTTTTTATTCAGCCAATGTATAGAAATTTTGGTATTTTATTTTTTCTGATTCAGGAATTTACCTGGATTTTCCAGGTTTTGCAATGTCTCTGTGACAATGCTTCCTAGCTGGCCCCCAAGAGCCCACAAAATGAAATTCTGGCTACACTACTAGACCCTACAACACCAAAAATATTCATTTTAAACACAGGAAAAACATCAGCTACAGATAGTCTGGACACTACACACAGCCACAATCAAAATCAGTTACATCATAGAATCATCTACAGTCCCAATACTGGAAAAAATAACAATTTTTAATATCAACACACTTCCCATCATGGACATCAAAGACAAGCAGAAAGTTTCATACCAACATCTTCAAGTTTATCTGGCTCACTCTGCAATGTGTAGGAGTTTGAGTGTGCATTTTATCCTTTGTCAGACTGTGCAAAACATCAGTAGATGTTCATTCTCAACCTCCCCACATACACTTAGCCTCCGCTTCTTTGATTGGTCCAATGAGTCTGAGTGACCAAAATTCTGGCCAGTCCACAGAAAGGGCAAATGATTGACAGGACAGATGTTCGCAGCTGTGGCCAGATTTAATGGAAATGAGTGGTCCTGGCATACCGTTCCACTGAGAGACTTAATCAGGAGGGTCTACACTACATTCTCACATGAACACACACACACACACACACACACACATTAATATGTCTGTCGCAAGTTTCAAATAAAACATGGTATATCTTT